AAAGGGAGAGAAGAGAAAGGAGAGAAAGAGAGAGAGAGGAGAGAAAGAGAAAGAAGAGGGAGGGAGAAGAGGAAGGGAGAGAGGGAGACAGAGGAGAGAGAGGAGAGAGAGAAAGGGAGAGGGGGGAGAAAGACTCCTTCTACTGACCCCACCTAGCATCATTAACCAGAGGAGAGCAAACGTTTCTCTAATCTGGCTGCAGAGGCTGCTGTTCCCCCAAGTGACCCCTGAGTAGACACGTAGCAGAAAGGCCCAAGGAGATTCCCCCAGAAGGGGGTGGAGAGGGAGGGAGGGAGGGAGGGAGGGGAGCAGCCCTGGCTGGCCTGGGATGGAGACCAAGGGATACGAGGCCCTGTTGACCCCTGTTTAATATGCAGCTGGGGGCCCAGTTGCAATGCACAAGCACAGAACGTGCTCCGGCCGGCTGTCCCTTCTCAAGGACCGAGGCCTCCCAGCCCCACCCAAGGCCGCGGAAGCAGCAGCAGTGTGCACATCTGGGGCTCATTAGACACCCTGGCCATCGGCCAAGGCCCAAAGCAGCCGGAGCAGGGGAGCAAGCCAACAGCCCAACAAGAGGGACTCCAGACATCTGGAGTAGCTGCGAGAGGTAATGCGAGAGGCCTGGGGCGCCCACTCCTTCCCGGCCGAGGTGGGAAGCAGCACCGCTGCCGTCTATTCCCAGGAGCTCATGGAAGCACAGCCAGGATTGCCACCCCCACCCCACCGGCCCCCTTCCTTCCTTCCTGGGGTCCTTGCAGGCGGCTTGCAGTGTCTTGGTCCTGGGGTTACAACCCAAACCATCCGTCCAACTCCCACTTTCCCAGCTGGGAGCCTCTTCTGCCTCCTGCTAAACATTCCTTCCTGCCCTCCAATTCCCTGAACGGCCATGCAGCCAAAGCCGTCCCTTCCGGCATCGTCTCAAGGGCCACCTTGGGGCACCGCGGTCATCTCTCGGCCTCTTCACCCAGCCACCTCGAGGCCCAAGGCCTAACAGAAGAACAGGCGACGTTGGCGGTCTTCTAGTCCACCCTCCCATGGTCAAGCAAGAGATTCTCCACCGTTCCAGGCAAGTGGCTGTCCAGCCTCTTCTTAAAAGCTTTCAGGGATGGAGCACCCATAAATTCTGGAGGCCAGCAGTTCCACTGGTTGATTTGTCTGTTAGGAAGTTTCTCCTTAATTCCAAGTTGCTTCTGTCCCTGATTAGTTTTCATCCATTGTTCCTGGTCTTCCCTTCAGGCCAGAAGTGGGATTCAGCCGGTTCTGACCAGTTCTGGAGAGAACCGGTAGCGGAAATTTTGAGTAGTTCAAACAACTGGCCAATGCCACCTCTGAGTGGCCCCGCCAACCCCATCTCTTCTCTGCCTCCCATTGAGTCCCAGCTGGTCGGCTGGGTCTCCTTTGGTTGCCCTGCACGGGAGAACGGAGCTGGAAAGCAGGTTAGTGGGGTAGGGAGGGAAGGGAGATTTTGCAGTATCCTTCCTCTGCCACGCCCACCAGTGGTGGGAGTCAATTTTTTTTTTTACTACTGGTTCTGTGGGCGTGGCTTGGTGGGCATGGTGTTGTTTGGTGGGCGTGGCTTGGTGGGCGTGGCAGTGGAAGGATACTGCAAATTCCCCCTTCCCTCCCCATCCCACTAACCTGCTTTCCAGCTCCGTTCTCCTCTGCAGGGCAACCAAAGATCGGCTGGGACTCGATGGGAGGCAGGGAATAGATGGGGTTGGCGGGGCCACTCAGAGGTGGCATTGGCCGGTTCTCTGAACTACTCAAAATTTCCGCTACGTTCTCTCCAGAACTGGTCAGAACTGGCTGAATACCCAACAACCACGCCCACAGAACCAGTAGTAAAATTTTTGGAATCCCACCACTGCTTCATGTGCTTTCAAAAATAGGTTGACTTTAATTTCTTGGTGGCAGCCCCTCAAATATTGGAAGACTGCTATCATGTCCCCCCTTGTCCTTCCTTTCACTAGACCAGACATACCCAGGGCTCGGATTCAAATTTTTTAACAACCGGTTCTGTGGGCGTGGCTTAGTTGGTGGGCGTGGCTTGGTGGTCATGTTATTGGCTGGGCGTGGCCAACTCAATATCTCTCACATCGAGGCACGCATCTCCTCGCCTGGCCTCTCATGACTGTGGGGATGCTGCAACAGTCATAAGTGTGAACAATGGTCATGTCACTTTTTTCAGTGCCATTGTAACTTTGAATGGTCACTCCACACAAGCAAAGTACCAGCAAAGGAGGGGGAAAAAAAACTCCAGAGAAGTTCCTGAGACAGGAAGTCTAGTCCTGCCAAGAATGTAATAAGGGTTAACGGAGAGGCAGTTTCTGTGAGCAACACCAGAATGTTTCCTTCCTGCCTTCCTTACAGGATTAGCCCAGTAATTTCTTCAAACAACCGGTTCTCCGAACTGCTTAGAAGGTTAACAACCGGTTCTAGCAAATAGGTGCGAACCGGTAGAATCCCACCCCCGGACATACCCAATTCCTGCAAACGTTCTTCATATGTTTTAGCCTTCAGTCCCCCAATCATCCAATCAATCCAAGAGGAGCTAAGGACTCGGGACGCTCCCCCGCCCTCCCCCCCCATAACTCTGGGCCTCCTGGAGCTCCCCTTCCATTCCATGAAATGCTGACCTGTACTCGGCCCCCCAGCCCTTGACGAAGCTCATCCGGATGGTGCACATGCGTGTCAACTGGTAGACGGCCTCGAAACCCTGGTTGACTGACTGAGCCAGGAGGGCTGCAAATTCTTGATTGTTAAATATCTTCAAGTTACACCCTGTTGGAGGACAGAGAATGAAAACAAAGAAGAGGGGCAAAGTTAGGAAGCATTCTCTAACGGCATCTCCACGTGACCTCTTTTGGGTCCTTCAGTAGCTCACCACACACAGAACAGTCTCCCCCAAAGCCTTCAAGGTGAGTGAAACTCTAGAATTAAAAAAAAAAGTGGAAGGGATCTAATTTTCTAAAAAGCGGGCAACCCCTTCCAAGGGTAAATTTCCCCATTAAATAATCAATCAAGAGCTTCTTGTTCTCAATGTGAGGTTTTGTGAAACCGCAAGGTACATGTTAGTATTTGCTCTGCTAGTAAATGCCAGAGAGCAGTGATGTCGTCATATATCAATTTGGTTAGTTGCTGGGTTAACGAAAATGTAAAGAGGCCACCTTGGACATCAAACAGGGATATTAATCGTTATGAATGTTAGCTATTCACTAAGTCAGAGGTCTCCAAACTTGGCAACTTTAAGACTTGTGGACTTCAACTCCCAGAATTCTCCAGCCAGCATAGCTGGACATAGGTGTCAAAAGCGAGAAATGTCAGAACTTGGTCCTTGAAAAAGGGATGGATGGAACACTTTGGGGGCAACCACTGAGAATGTCTTTTTAGACTCGGTGATGCAGAGGTTGGAGTGCAGTACTGCAGGCTACTTCTGCTGACTGCCAGCTGTCTCCAATTTGGAAGTTCAAATCTCACCAGGCTCAAGGTTGACTCAGCCTTCCATCCTTCCGAGGTGGGTAAAATGAGGACCCAGATGGTTGGGGGCAATTTGCTGACTCTGTAAACCGCTTAGAGAGGGGCTGTAAAAGCACTAGGAAGCGGTATATAAGTCTAAGGGATATTGCTATTGCTAGGTAGTCCTTAATTTACAACTGGAATCAGAATTTCCATTGTTAAGCAAGGCGGCTTGCACCCAATGTTACAATCTTCTTTTTTTGCCATGCTTCTTAACCAAATCATGGCAGTTATTAAGTGAATCCCATGGTCGTTAAGCGAGTCCATCTTTTCCCATTGACTTTGCTTGTCAGGAGCCAACTGGGGAGATCTCAAATGGTGACCACGGGACCCAGGACGGTTCAACCGTCATAAATACATCCCGGTTGCCAAGCGCCTGAATTCTCTTCCCATGTCCTGATGATGTTGCAATAGTCATAAGTCCTAACCCTAACCCTATCCCTCTGTTACGGCCACTTAGAGCTGCATTGGCCTGGCCTCTCTTGCATGCTTCAAGCCCTGAAGCAGCTCCCAAAAATAAGCAGGCAGGACCTGCTAATCTGCAATGAAGGCCAGGAGTTACGCTGGCTTGGAAGAGCAAGAGACACAACATTCCTAGGTTAAAACCACACACACAAACACACAGGCAGCTCTATCTGAAATTAAACCACCACACACACACACAAATCTTTGCAATTGCAGTTCATGATGTTTGCAGTGCAAGACTTTCCCCAAGCCATTTTTCTAGCCCTTTCTTCGCTTTTTCGATCTCAAGAGTCCACACTCTCAGCTTTCAAGTGCATCTTCAGTCATAAGATCATAAGATCAAGTGTTTTAAAATATTCAAGACAAGCCGTTTCTTATTTCTCAATTGGGATGGCGTTAAAGCTTTTCACAAATCAAAGAAAATAGAAAACTAGTGAAAGATAGAGTAACATAACTTTTGAGAAAGACAAAAAGGTTTCTACTAAGCTAAAATTGTTCTCTGTATTACTGTAGAGATCTGTAAAATGATGGAATACAGGAAGTCCTCTAGTTATAATGCCAGGGGACCACATAGCTTGGCCACAGCACTCCAGGCAGTCCCAGCTGTCTCTGTAATCCCAAAAGACGTGGGTCATTAAACGGAAGCAGAGAGAAATCTCTTCGTAACTCCAAACAGTCGCTGAATGAATGGCCATAACTCGAGGACTACCTGCTTTGCTTTTCTACTTTAATGCTCGTCGTGTAAAGTGGCTCGTGTCAGCTTCAACAGAAACTGCTCTGATCCATCAGCACAGACAACTTCTGAAACTGGGGATTTAGCCAAGAAATCCAAAAATTGATAAGTGGCTGAAATGATCTTTCTTCAAGCGAAACGAGAGGGCCAGTTCAAATGGGGGCTTCTTTCGTGGATGTCATTCAGATTCGGATGTGGGCCAGAAACCAATAGTAGCATTTGGCCTTTTTTTTAAGGATTCCCTGCATGAGTCCAGCCAGCCAAATATTCTAAGGAAGATTTTGAGCCTATGTCAGAACGCAGAGATTTATTGCAAGGCAAAAGAGAAGCTAGATTTTGTGGTCTAGACCAGGGGTCTCCAACCTTGGCAACTTTAAGCCCGGTGGGCTTCAACTCCCAGAAAGCTGGCTGGGGAATTCTGGGAGTTGGAGTCCACCAGGCGTAAAATTGCCAAGGTTGGAGACCCCTGGTCTAGATGTAAGTTGTGCATGCACGTGTTGACTGCAGGGCCGATATACCAGTCGGGTAAGAACTAATCCAGGAATTGGCAATGATGGCAACTTTATCAGCTGAGGACTTTGACTCCCAGAATTCCCAACTTCTCCGAAATGAAATCCACTTGCCATAGTTGATGATTCTGGCCTAACCCGAGGTCCACCTCTTATTCAGAGATTCTCGGACATAATTCTCTTTGCAACTCCAGTGCATGCAAAAAAAAAAAAACCCACCTCCTTCTAATTCTCCATCATACCCACTAACAGAGCTATCAACCAGTTTAGACCGATCCAAGCAGGAGATGAATGCAAATTGTTTTGCAAAACTGGATAAGGTCCTCCAGAAAACCCAAGTTCTTGAAAAGATGAATCTTGCATTCAACATGCCAATACGGGCTTTTAAGAACAACAACAACACGGTCTCCAGCAGTGGGATCCTCCTACCTGTTCCACGATCACCTGAGAGGAACAAGAAGAGAAAAGTGCAGGGTGGGTAAGAGGACCGATCCTGCACTTTTCTTTCTCCTCCCCGCTGATCTTCGGGGGCCTTTTTTAACTACCGGGTCAGGTGAACCGGTCTGAACCGGTAGCATGCCACCACCGACAGTCTCAAATCTCATTGTTTGTGTTTCCTTCTTCCTAGAAGTGGCAGCTAATTTGGGGGGGGGGGAGAGAGAGAGAGGGAGAGAGCGAGAGAGGGTCTCCCATGGAAATCCTGCTGTGATTCTCAATTGCAGAGATTCACTGCCACAGAGTCAGTCCTCTGGGCCAACTCATTGGACAGAAGTTCTCAGGGACGACTCACTTCACTCGGCCCTTCTTCACTCTCCTGCCATTGGGTGGGAGATAGAGAAGCACAGCCAGCCACCCCAACGGGCTGAAGAACTGTTTCTACCCGTGGGACTGTCAGACTCTTGAACTTCATGTCAAGGTGGTACGATAGACTTGCGGGACCGGTGTGTTGTGCAACCAGGTCACCTAGTGTAATAAGATTGGGACTGGGTTAGGGACTTCTGTCCTCACCGTGAGTTGTGTTGTGTTGGGGAGGGTGCACGAAGGGAGGCTCAGCCAATCTCACTGCACGCATGTTGTACTCTTGACAATAAAGGTAATAATTGGTCAGAGAAAGGCATAAAACACAAAAGGAAGCAGAGTCAAAATAGGTTACCTGGCGGTATCTTGCACACGGTAGCTGGGTGCCAGCCATAACGCTGGTTGCAGTTGGGGGACTGGACAAATATGGCACTGTCACTAAGGCACTCGGCAAAAACTTCCCCTCCAATGTAATACAGTCTCACTCCTCTCCCTAGAAAACACAGGTTCAGCATCAGGACAGCAAAGAAGACAAAGAAGACAGAACTGAAGAAGCTTCTTGGATGAGAGGTGAAACATTTTTAAGGAAAAACCAAGAAAGTCCAGTTGCCTTCTGGGAAAAAAAAACACCTTTTGGATAGCCTGATGGTCATGCAGTGAGAAGACTGGGCTGAATTACCTATCCTGGGTCACCAAGGGGGGAGAAATGGAGAGCTGGAAAGAATTTGAACCACTCTGCATTCCAGGGAAAGGCAATTGGATGCCACTCAGGAATCTGGGGTTTCAGTTCTGTCAGAGTATATTCATGAACTGGAATAGATCCTGGTAACAAGGTCAGCCAATGAATAGGCATAACAACTAAGTCAGCCAATGAGGACTGTTTGGAAACTGAAACTAGAAGTAGCCTAGGCGTGGCTGTATATTAAGCTCTGCAACTCTGTTGAGCTCTGAGTTTGTCTATTGAAAGTGAAACGGCTTCTCTCCTCTGCTGTGTGTCTTGCTTGCCTGCTGAACTAAAGTGAGACTGAGGTCTGTTTCTGAGCTCCTGAGTTGCTGCTGTTCTGCTCTGAACCTGTCACATGTCTGCTTCGGTTTGAGTTTGCTCCATGCTGGAGAAATCTACAACTGGTATTGTAAAATTTACTTTAGATGTTCATAAAGAAGTTAAATGAAGCGTCAGCCACCTGTGTTTACTTTTCTGGCGCTGAATTTACACTGCAATACTCTGAACAAGTTCTCACAACGTGGCTAAAGGCTGATGGGAACGATAGTCTGAAACATCTGGAATGTGCCTTCCCTGTGCTGTAGCTACTACCGCATGCAAGTTATCTTAGGCAATAAGTTGCTTTCTAATAAGTCAGCCCTCTTTTCCGTAGTCTCCAGGAAGAGGCACTGATGGAAATTCCATTATTTAAAAGGTCCAAAACTGATGAAGTCACTACAGCTGGAACAAAGTTTATTTGGGTTTTTGTTTTTTTTTAATCTCCAAAGCATGGCAGCTAGTTCTATTTAATTCCCTCTGTTCATTGATTCCAAGTAATCGGGAAAAAATGTTATGATTTGTTAACGGAAAAGAGCACCATTAAGAAAGACAACTTTTTCAACACTGGAGATTCTGATAGACTGGTTTGTTAAAGTCGTTGCTCTCATCCTGTGGAAGGGAATCCAGCTTTCCATTTTTGTTGGTGAGAGAGAGCCAGCTGTAATAAACAGAGTTAAAAAATGTGCTTGTGTGAAGATCACAGAAAAGTTGATGCCTTCCAAACATTAAGTTTATTTTATATAAAGAAGAAAGATAACAAAGCCAGACGGCCTTGTGTAATTAAATGTGCAGCATTTAAATTAAATGTGGGGAACTATGGCCTCTTTTTATGACCTTGGACCAACTCCTAAAATTCCCGAGCCAACATGCTATAACTATGGCTCCTTTACGACGTATGGTCTTCAACTCCCAGAATTCCCGAGCCATCATGGCAACTATGGCTCCTTTACGACGTATGGACTTCAACTCCCAGAATTCCCGAGCCATCATGGCAACTATGGCTCCTTTACGACGTATGGACTTCAACTCCCAGAATTCCTGAGAGGAACTCTGGGAGTTGAAGTCCACACGTCATAAAAGGGCTACAGTTCCTCACCCCTGACTTAAAGTAAGCAGAAAAGCGACGTGTGTCCTAACGGCTCAACTCTCCTGGTCGAGTTCAGTGTTTACACAGGGCCTGAGTCCCTTCCACACACCCCCCGCCCTTTCCAGCCCACTTCCCCCAAAGACAAGGCAATGGAGGCTACCAATGTGCCGCCTGGTCAGCTCCACAGCTGCATTGCGGTTGACATTGGAAAGCAGGCCGAGGCAGAAGCGCTCCGAATTTGATGGGTCCGTGAAACCATCCACGGTCATTGAGGGCTGAGAGGCGTGGAATGTCTCTCCCACTCGCTGGTTGAGCTCATAATAGGAAATGGAGCACCAGAAGGCCGGCTCACAGTAGGTGACTGGCTGGAGATCTGCAAGCAAAAAAAAAAATGGAGAGGATAAAGTTTGCTTCTTCTCACAGGTACAGTTTATAATAAAATGTGTATAGGTAGTCAGAATAATAGAATGGCAGAGTTGGAAGGGTCCTTTGGAGCAGTGGTCGCCAACCGGTGGGCTGGGGACCATTGGTGCTCTGCGAGAAAAAATTTTGGGTCCGCAGAGAAATGTCACTCCCCAAAGCAATTAATCCAGGCTGTGTGGGAACACAAGGCTCCACCCTCCACATGGCCCCCGGGAACACAAGGCTTGTGTCGCTTGCATTGCAAGCAACACGAGGTAGTGAGGGGAGGGGGGAAAGGGCAGAGGGGGGGAACTTGCCTTACTCGCTCCATGCGTCTTGCCTGGCCACCGGGCTGCTTCTTTCCACTTCTTTCTTCTTCTGCTTTTGGCAGCATGCAAGGAAAGCAGCAAAGGTCTTTCTTTCTCTCCCCCAAACTCCGCCAGAAATGAGTCTTGGGGACCCTGCAAGGCCTCCTGCTCCAAGAGGCTGCGCCGCAACAAAAGACTCATTTCTGGCGGAGTTTGGGGGAGAGAAAGAAAGACTTCTGCTGCTTCTGCTGCTTTCCTTGCATGAAGCCAAAAGTCTCTCTCTCTCTCTCTCTCTCTCGACCCCCCCAAGAATGGAGCTGGAGACGGTATCCTGCGATCCCAAATAAAGAACGATCGATCGGTAGAAAAATGGGGTGGGGAATTTTCCTGCGGGCTTTTTTGGGGGATTTTCCCAGGGCCTCTGGGCCGCGGGATTTAAAATTATGAATTTGGTGGTCCCTGAGGTCCAAAAGGTTGGCGACCCCTGCTTTGGAGGTCTGATCCACTGCTCAAGCAGGAGACCTTATATTAGTGATGGCAAATCTTTTAGAGACCTGAGTGCCCAAACTGCAACCCAGAACCCACTTATTAATCGCATAGTGCCAACACAGCAATTTAACCTGAATACTGAGGTTTTACTTTAGAAAAAACAACTGATATAGTAACATCTTTTTTTCTTAAGAGAAAAAACACAATAACAAAGCTTTCAATGATACAAACAACTTTTGATATTTACAATTTCGGGCTCGCCTCAACCATAATTTTATTTAATTATGTTTTTACATTTCTGAACTGTCCATCTCCCTCAAAGAGGGAATCTTGCCGATGGCAGCTCTGCCCCCTACCAAATACATTTGGGCAACATTAATAGAGGATTTGAACCCCAAAATCAAACACAGCCTTCCCATTCATCTTTCTAGCAAGTGTAGGTCCCACTTCGATCTATTCTTAGACACCAAATATTCCTGGTTGCGATGCTCCGTCTACAACAGGGGTTTCCAACCTTGGCAACTTTAAGACTTGTGGACTTCAACTCCCAGAATTCCTCAGCCAGGAGTTGGGATTTGAAGTCCACAAGTCTTAAAGCTGCCAAGTTTGGAGACCTCTGATCTACAAGATAGAAGTAATTGTGGACTGTCAAAGAAGTCTAATGACCAGCCACTGACCAGCTTTTTTCTCCATAATTCTCTTTTAAAGCCATCGAAGGTGCCACCATATTTTGGGGCAATGAATTCCTTAGTTTAACTCTGCATTGTGGAAAGAACTTCAATGAATCTGCCTTGAATATACCACTCCTCAAGTTTCATTGGATGACCCAACATGGAAACACTGAAAATGACAACAACTTCCAGATTTGTCAATAAATACAACCAAATGGTGGATGAGGACTTGAACTGCGGTTCAGTAGAGGTTGTGTGGGCAGCATCTCCAAGCCAAGCTGAGTTGAGCGAAATGTTATTTGTGCCTGTGAGCCTCTTGTCAGTGGATGTTGACAAGAACGAGCTAAATGCCACAAGACATTTGTTACTTAAATCATATTCGTGCAAGATTAAAGAGCTGGCTTGTTGCCACACATCTGTTTTCTCACTCAGGAACCAAAATAGTTTTTTTTTAAGAGAACTGGAAATGATCTCAGAGTGGATTGCTTCCTTAGGATACGTACATTCGTCTTGTCAGAAAGAAACAGGTGGCAGAACTTCAAGAGAAAATACAACCTGATAAATTTATTAACTGGGAGTGAAAGTGGAAGGAGAATGCCAAATGTTGAGTCTTTTTTTCACAATTTAGTTTAGTTTAGTTTATTGTCATTGCACCTTGTAGAATGAATTTAAATAGCATCTTCTGTGTACAATTTATGACTATAAAAATAAACACAAACATACAACCTTCTCATTCTATACAATTGAACTGAAACCCCCTGATATTGCCTTAATATTGCACCATACAGTAGAATTCAATAGAGTTACTGCCCTGGGATAGAAGCTGTTTTTCAGCCTATTTGTCCTTGTTTTTATTGTCCTGTACCGTCTGCCAGATGGTAATAGTTCAAAAAAAAAAAAGGGTGCCCAGGATGAGATGGATCTTTGACAATGTTTTGAACTTTCTTAAGGCAGCGGGAGGTATAAAGCTCTTCCAAAGAGGGGAGAGGGCAACCCATGATCCTCTGGGCAATGATGTTCACCCTCTGGAGTGCTTTCCTATCTGCCCCTGTGCAATTGGCAAACCTTACACAGTTGTGCAGTAAGTTAAGATACTCTCTCTGGTGCAGCGGTAGAAGGTCACCAGCAGTTTTTCCCCATTAAAGCCACCGTTCTGTAGCACCCTCTATGACTCCACCTCCCAGGGGAAAATCAAAGGTCCCACATCATGCTACACTTACCCAGATTACTGTGTGCAGGAGACATCGGATTCGGAGATAAATTTGGAGAACCTACCGGGGCAGAAGAAAATTCAATAATTAACTCTTGAGACAGAATGTGATTCAGATCACACACTGCACTAACCCAAAGTTTGCATAATTGTGACCTGTTGAATAAACCACAGGAATTGTCTTCACATGCTAAGCCAAAGTGCTTTGGTGCGGTGTACAAATTAGCTTCGTTTTTAAGTGAGGGTCTTACTAATCTCCAAACAATTCCTCAAGGAAATTCTATGTTACAGTTCTAGAGTCCAAAAAGTGATCTGAAAAGCTGTTGCTCCCTTCCGTGTGTCCAGATTGCTCTAGACTGGGTGAATAAAAGCTATACCACCACCTCTAATTTAGATGCAACAGGGGGGAAAAAACCCCTCAACTTTAACAAGGTTCATTTTGCCATTTGCCAAACAAATTCAAAAAAATATCCGCCTCCCTCTATTTATGGACTTCTCCATCTCTTTTCTTGAGAACTGCAGATGGCAAAGATGGAACTAAACTGGGAGAGAAGCAGAATTGGGTTTTGTACTCCCATTCAGTCATTTATGATTATAAATAGCTATTTTAGGTACAGTTGTCATGTTTTGTGGTTTACATCAGCAGTATAGCCATTAGCTGCAACTCTCTCAGGCTAACATTCTTCTTGAGAAGTGCCCTCAAAGAGTTGTTTGTTGTCTAACTAAGCTAGGAAACCGGGGTTAAATCCGGGGTGGGATTCAACCGGTGTAACAACTGGTTTGGTGAGTGCACACGCAGTGTTTACATTTCACTTTCTGCTGCAAGGCCTGTGTGTAAAACAGCTGATGCGTCGCAATCCACTGTGCCGCGCAAAGTAGCTGAGCTGAAAAACCCAGAAATAAAGCATATAGTCAGGACAGGCTTACCCAACAGCTGATCATCGGAGTAAACTGGTTCACTCCCAGCTGACCTTAGAGCTACCGGTTCACCCGAACCGGGACAAACTGGTAGAATCCCACCCCTGGGTTATACCCTGTTCAATGTGCATCTCCTCCCTACGTGGCTGGTATTGAACCCAGGACTGTTGCTTTCTTTGTCAGCCATCAGCCACAGATGGGAAAAATAACTCCTGGGCAGAGAAGGAGAGAATAATCTAGACCAGTAGTGGCTAACCTTTTGGGGCTCCTGTGTCAAAAATTGTGTGCGCGCTTGCACGCTGGTGCTCGCGTGCCAGCACCCAGAAGGCAATATGCGCCCCCCTCACGCCTCCTACACATGCACGCGCAATCCCCACCCCCCTGCACTGCACTTCACAGCTGATTTTCGGCAGGTTTGAGGCCTTTTTCGGCCTCCCAGAGGCTTGAGGAAGGCTTCTGCAGGCCGAAAACTAGCCCCGTTTCATCACTTCCGGTATTTTCGGAAAAACAGGAAGTGACAAAACAGGGCTACTTTTCGGCCTGCAAAGCCTGCAGAAGCCTTCCTCAAGCTTTTGGGAGGCCGAAAAAGGCCTCAAACCCACCGAAAATCAGCTGTGAGGCATGCGCATGTGCAGTGAGGTAAGTTTGCCTGCAGCTCGCATGCCAGCACAAAGGATTCTCGTACCACCTGTGGCATGCGTGCCGTAGGTTTGCCATCATGGATCTAGAGCAAGGGTCTCCAACCTTGGCAACTTTAAGCCGACGGACTTCAATTCCCAGAATTCCCCAGCCAGCTTTGCAGGCTGGGGAATTCTAGGAGTTGATGTCCACTAGGCTTAAAGTTGCCAAGGTTGGAGACCTAATTTAGACCAGGGGTGGGGGAAGGTGATGGGAGGAGGGTGGTGAAAGGAGGCAAGATCTCAAATACGAGGAAAGAGAGGAGGAAGGAATCCTCTCAGGGATGGGATGAGTTTTCAAGACTTGGCCAGAGTTGAGTGGCGAGACAAGAGAACCATTCCTTTTAATCCCACACACAAAAAAAGATATTCATTTCTGCTTTTGATTTACCTGCATCTAAACCGTGGTTCATTTGATGGTCACTGGTTTCTCCATCCTCGCTCAGATATCCGGGAGGCGGTGTCTCTAAAGAGGGGGAAGAAAATTAAAATAAGAGATTTACCAAAGCCGCACCATTCCCCAGCTGCACTCCCCACCCCCCCCCCCCCGCTATTTATCAGTCTTCCAGTCTGTTTTTCTATTCAGTCAAGGTCCCAAGATAGGCCAACCAAAATCCAAATACCACAGTTGAAAGCATGTCTCAAAACTAATAAAAACGTGAACAAATTATTAAAAGCCTGCTGGCAAGGGAGATGCCTCTTGGCTGCTCTTCTAAGAGAAGTCAGGAGAGCTCTGGGGGAGAATCACGCAGGAGAAGGCCTCCTCCTCCTCCTCCATTCTCTCCTCCATTCCCTCCTTTTCCTCTTCCTCCATTCTCTTCTCCTTCTCCATTCTCTCCTTCTCCTTCTTCTCCTTCTCCATTCCCTTCTCCTCCATTCTCTTCTCCTCCTCCTCTATTCCCTCCTCCTCCATTCTTCTCCTCCCTCTTCCTCCATTCTCTTCTTCTCTTTCTCCTCCTCCATTCCCTCCTCCTCCTCTTCCATTCTCTCCTCTTCCTCCTTCTCCATTCTCTCCTTCTCCTTCTCCATTCCTTTCTCCTCATCTTCCTCCTTCTCCTCCATTCTTCTCTTCCCTCTTCCTCCATTCTCTTCTCCTCCTTCTCCTCCTCCATTCTCTCCTCTTCCTCCTCCTCCTCTTCCATTCTCTCCTCTTCCTCCTCCTCCATTCTCTCCTTCTCCTCCATCTCCATTCTCCACTACTACTACTACTACTACTACTACTACTACTACTACTACTACTACTGGAGAAGCATCCTCTCTTGCAAAATGTAACAGCTAGAAAGGCCCAAAAGATGAGCATAAAAGAGTAAACAGATCAGACCTCCATCCCTTGCTTATTCAGGGAGACCAAGTAAAGCAAGTGACCAGTTTTAAGTTTCTGGGTGTTACCCTAAAAGAGGACCTGACCTGGGGTGCTCTCATATTGCAGCCCTGGTCAAAAGGACCCAGCAGAGATTAGACTACCTGAGACTTCTCAGGAAACAACAACTGAATGAAAAACTGCTGGTGACCTTCTACCGCTGCACCATAGAGAGCATTTTAACATACTGCACCTCTGTATGTTTTGCCAATTGCACAGAGGCAAATAGGAAAGCACTCCAGAGGGTTGACGTCATTGCCCAGAGGATCATTGGTTGCCTTCTCCCCTCTTTGGAAGAGCTTTAGAGCTCCCGCTGCCTTAAGAAAGTTCAAAACATTCTCAAAGATCCATCTCATCCTGGGAACCCTTTTTTTTAAAACTATTACCATCTGGCAGCCGGTACAGGACAATAAAAACAAGGACAAATAGGCTGAAAAACAGCTTCTATCTCAGGGCAGTAGCTCTTTTGCTGTATAGTGCAGTGTTGGTGTGGTGTCGGGAGTTTCCGGTTCAATGTGTGGAGGGCGAAGGGTGTGTGTTTGTGTTTATTTTCATGGTCCTGACGTGCACTGAAGACGGTGTTTGATTTCGTTGTAGGAGGTGCAATGACAATTTTAAAAAGAGTAAAAAAATAAATAAACTAAACTCCTCTGGTCAAGATTTGGTCTTTGAAAATAAAATAAAAAATAAGACAGAGGGCTTTATAAGCCATTCCTTGCTTACCACCTGGTTGTGAAATAAGCAGTGAAGGCTTCTTGGAAGCACAGGTGAGTAGTGTGTACACCGGGGAGTAGTGGAGGGTCAGGACTGGAAAGAATCTGAGCCGGAGGGGAGGATAACAGAGGCCCTGGAGGAGGAAGCCCACCCTTTTCAAAAGGGTCTCCTTCCCCTCACACCCAGAGTTAGCTGGGCAAGAAGGAGGCCTGAAGCCCCCAGGACCAAAGCGAAGCGAGTTTTCCTGGCGCTTGAGAGGAAGCCCCTCCCCGCTCTCCTGCGCCCTCTCCTTCCTGGGGGCGCCATACCTGGAATGTAGTTGCTCTGAGGCTCGATGCCAGCTGGGAAATTCGTGTTCTCGGGAATGGAATGGCTGTAGTCGTCGAGCGGAGGGAATTCGGCTGGAATTTCCGCGTGTCGTGGGACCAAAACCGGAGGTAATACTGCGGAGAAAAGCAGCCAGTCGCACAAACGCGGCCCACTTTGGGGCTTCTGATGAGGAGACCCCCCCCCTCCCTTCGCTCCCCCAACCCTTTCCCCTAGGGGCTCCTGGGTTGGCCCTACCTGGCGTTTCCACTCTTTGGTAGTGATAGGGGTTCACACAGACTTCGTCCTTCTTCATGTTGAAGGCGTATTCGCACATTTCCATGGCGCGCAGTTCGTGGTGGCTGTGAAGGTCTGGCCACCGCCACAGCCGGCAATAGATGACGTGCGGGAGACCCTTTCGATGGGAGACTTGTAGCCGGCCATCCAGCGACCTGGAGTTGGAGAGAAAAGACGCCGTTGGGAGACAAGACTTAGCTAGAAGCTCTTCGTTTTTGCCATTAAACATTGTGGTCAAACCATCAAAAATTAAGATTAAAGATAGCAAATAACGAGCTGGATACCCGTGCTTCACTACGAAACTATTTGGTCGGGCTTAGTTTTTTGGGAGGAAAAGAAGGGTGGGGGGGAATTCTGCCTCTGCCTACCAGCATCCATCGGTATTCATCTAGCGTCCTGTCAGGGTGTGAGAGAGTTGAGGGCTGTTTGGAAACTGAAACAGTATTTGCTGTGTGAGCAAGGAGGAGACAGCAAGGAACCTGGGCGTGGCTTAGCTCAACTGTTCTGTATTAAAGCTGCTTGGTGCTGTGAAAACTGAAACTGAAATTCCTCTCCTCTGCTTGTGTTTTGCATTTGGAGCAGATTTCTTTCCAGGTGGGGAAGGGGAGTAGGACTCCTTAGCATCAGAGGATGTTAATAATAATAATAATAATAATAATAATAATAATAATAATAATAATA